TATGTATGTATGTATGTATGTATGTATGTATGTATGTATGTATATATGCACACACAATAAGAAATTTGACAAGTTTTGTCTTAATGAGATTTTTTGTGACCCAAAGAACAAAATCTACCAGAATATTTTCTGAGATTGAAAGTCTCAGTGAATCAGAATATAAACTGAAACTATAAAGCAGTACCTGGAATACTTCACATTAATCCAGAATAAAAAATATATTTCAGTCTCGAGTGTTTTTCATGTAATTATGATTTAGAAGTTACATAAAAATGAGTTGTTTCTTCTGTTATATATTTTAAGTATTTTCTTTCTAATTTGATGATCATCCTGATAAAAAAAAAAAAAAAAAAAAAAACTGAATTATACTGCCACTTTTATTTGTTAAACTTATGTTTTAGTATAAAAAAAATCTGATAAATTTCTGCCAATTGAAATTGTGACCTAGATAATTATTGCCATTTAACTATTTTTTACATCAAAACTTGTTGAATACATATTTTTCTATTTCAGAACTTTTTTGAAACTATATTTTTTACAACACTTGTTCTGTCTAGGGGAGATGTGTGAAGAAATGGAAGATGTGTGTGCTCCAGGACGAAGCCCCTGCAAACATCAGTCTACCTGCCTCATCACCACATCTGGACCTAAGTATGTTTGTTGCCAGAAGCTGAAGTTGCAGGAACAGGTTGCATGTTGACTAGAAGGTAAACTGGTGTGTGTTCAGACTCATTTAGTTCTTGTGTTCTGCAGGTGTGTGTGTTCTCCTGGTTACGTTGGTGACGACTGCAGCGTAAACTATAACGACTGTGAGGAGCACCGCTGTCAGAACCGAGCTCAGTGTGTGGATGAGCTCAACGGTTACTCCTGCATCTGTTCTGCAGGATACAGGTGAGAGGAGCTCAGCTTTTATTGTAGCAACTTATTTCTCTTTGTTTCACTCAAAAAAAAAAAAAAACCTGCTGTTTCTGGCTCTGCAGCGGCCAGCTGTGTGAGGTTCCTCCTTCTCCGCTGTCTCTGTGTGAGCTGGCCGACTGTCAGAACGACGCCCCCTGTGTGGAGCGAGGTGGGCGCGCCCTGTGTCAGTGTCCTCCAGAGTTTGGGGGGCCACGCTGTGAAAAGCTGGTCAGTGTCAACTTCATTGACAGAGACTCCTACTTACTGCTCTCTGACCTCCAGAACTGGCCCCAAGCTAACATCACTCTGCAGGTAGTCACAGATTCACTTCTCTGGGTTCATTCATCTTTTTTGGCACCTGAACAAGTTTAACAATTAAGAAACCGCTCGGTGTGTGCAGGTTTCTACAGCTGAGGATAACGGTATCCTGCTGTACAATGGAGACAATGATCATATTGCAGTGGAGCTCATCCAAGGCCACGTTAAGGTTAGCTACGACCCCGGCAGCCAGCCAGGACACGCTATTTACAGGTAAGTTTGGTGTCCCTGTGGGATTACTGGTTAATTTCCTGTTCATCTTAGTGATTCTACTTCCTGTCTGTGTTCTCTTCTGTCAGCACTGAAACTATCAACGATGGTCAGTTCCACACGGTGGAGCTGGTGACCTTCGACCAGATGGTGAACCTGTCCATTGACGGGGGTCTCCCTACCACAATGGACAGCGTTGGGGCGGTGCGGCCCCTCAACGGGGAGGCGCCGCTATACGTGGGGGGTAGGGGCCCTCTCCAGAACACACCTCCCTCCTCTGCAGGCACTCTTAACTACTACACTACTGTTCAGTCACTTCCCCCTCCCCTCGCTTTGTCACCACTGCAACCAGTCCCTTCCCCTCAGCCATGCAAGTCCTCAGCCCATCCTTCCTCCACCCAGACCCAGACCTCATCCTCCAACCGCACCATCCCACCTGTCAGTCCTGTGTTTGCTAAGAGCCATGCGTTAATGCAGAAAATCTAAACTGGACTTAATAAAAGCTTCATAAACACATCTGTACCGTATTTTTCGGATTATAAGGCGCATCAAGCGAAACAAAACAAGTCATATAAGTCAAACTTTATTCAACTCACTCACAATAACCACATTAAATTGGTTTGAGGTCAGTAAGCTCGACCAGAATTAATACATAAGGCGTGCCTGATTACCGTTTTTTCCACCCTATGAGTTGCACCGGAGCATACCGGTAAGTCGCATCTGTCCAAAAATGTGTAATAATTTGGAAAAATCCATAAATATGTCGCTTCCTCGTATAAGTCACACGTATTATGCATCACCGCTGGCACGTCGCGTTTGTTACGCGTCACCACTGACAACCTGGAAATGTGGGCCGGTGTTGTGCCAAAAATCAATTGGCTGCCAAATGGTAGCTGCGGGAGCGTGCACGGGAGGACTTTAACAAGAATTTAACAAGATAACTACCTAAAAACAATTTTTTGTTTGCTCGAAATTATAGTAAATTGAACTTTTACTTAATAAATGCGCTTTGACGGTCAAATCAGCTTCATTACAAAAGTATTTGCTGCCTCGGTGCGCCGCTCTGGAGCGCGCACAGGGAGGAAATCAGGAATGAGGAACGCTGCACATTTCTTCAAAATTTAACACGATAAGCACCTAAAACAATATATTTTTTGCTCGACATTATTGTAAAGATGTGTCTCAGTTGAACTTTTATGTAATAAATGCACTTCAATGGTCAAATTAGCTGCATTTCACCAGGGCAGCGCAGCAAAATGAAGCTGATTTGACGGTTGTTCTAGGCATGATACCAGAGCTGGACGCAGGTGGCAGTCTATGGCAATCCGATTGTGTCATTAATAGCCATTTTTACCTATTACATGACACAACGGCATGCTATACTACTCAAGTGCCATCTAGTGGCTGAAAATGGTAGTGTTCAGTATTTTCTATGTCAGAATGAATGAGAACGGTCATATTTCAGCCAAAAATTGGTTTATAAATATGAGAAAAAAATCCATAAATAAGTCGCGCCGGCGTATAAGTCGCAGGGTATGCAAATTAGGCAAAAAGGTGTGACCCTAAAGGCCGGAAAATATGGTAAATGGCTCACTGTCGATTTTTAAGGAAATTAAAGGATTTTAATTCAGCCTTACAGTCTGAAAAATACGGTAATAATTTGCACATAAAACTAATTAACTGTAATAAAGCATAAACTAAATTTACACTACAGCACTGTAGGACTTTAATACTGTTTAAAAATAGTTACTTTGATCCTTTTACATTTTTGATCCATGTGTGTAATAAGCACTTGTGACATTGTTGTTAAAATGTCAAAAAATCCTCAAAGTTTAGATTTTTTGCCATAGAGTTTGTGTTTACAGATGTTTTGTGCTGTTTGTGTGTGTGTGTGCTGTTCTTCACTCAAGCAATCTCACGTCTTTCCATTCTCCTTTACGTTTTCTGTCCTATGCTTCAAAGATGATGCGTCTTGTGGTGCTGATATATAAATATTTTAGGTGCTGATCAAAGAGTTGCATATAAAAGTTTTTAATTACACGCAGGCACTGCTGGGACACACATGTTTGAATCTTCCTCCATTACTCTCATACCAGCCCTGTGTTTGCTGTTTGTTTGTGAGCCGGGTCGCGCCCCTGCACACATATAAACCTCCTCGCTTCGCTCTCCCTCTCCAGGCATGCCGGTGGACGTTCACTCTGGCCCTTTCCGGCTCTGGCAGATCCAGAACGGTTCCAGTTTCCACGGCTGTATCCAGAACTTGTACATTAACAACGAGCTGCAGGACTTCACCAAGACCCAGATGAAGCCCGGTGTGGTGCCGGGCTGCGAGCCGTGCAAGAAGCTCTACTGTGTTCATGGCATCTGCCAACCCGATGGAGTCCAGGGACCAGTGTGCCACTGCCAACCGGGCTGGAGCGGGCCGCACTGTGACCAGCCTGCTCTCAACCCCTGTCAGGGCAGCAAGTATGTCCGCAAATTTAAAGTTTAAAGCATTTATCTTCTTATAAAACCGTCACGACTGGTTCATTCATGGAACAAAAGGATCTGACTGAAGTGATCGTTTGTCACCAGATGCGTCCATGGAAAGTGCATCCCTCTGGACGTGCAGTCGTACCGCTGTGAGTGCACGGAGGGTTACCGAGGCGCGCTGTGTAACCAACAAGGGGAGCTGTTCAACCCCTGCCGCCACCTCTCCTGCAAACACGGCCGCTGCCAGATCTCAGACACAGGAGACGCTTACTGTCACTGTGAAAACGGATACACCGGGGATCTCTGCGACGCAGGTCAGTTTGTGGCGTCTCACTGCAAACGCACGCGCGTTCGAAACGGAACCAAACGATGACGCTAAACGTTTCTTGTTTTTAATTGTTTCGATTTTTAGAGTCCGAGTGTCGAGGCGAGCCCGTTCGAGACTTCTACCAGGTGCAGCGAGGGTACGCCATCTGTCAAACCACCCGCATGGTCTCCTGGGTGGAGTGCACTGGCGTTTGTGACGCGGGGGGCTGCTGCGGCAGCCAGAGGATGAAACGCCGGAAATACACCTTTGAATGCAGCGACGGAACGTCCTTCAACGAGGAGGTGGAAAAGACCATCAAGTGTGGCTGCGTGGGCTGCATGTAGCACCGATGGCGCACATTTCCTGCTGCTGGCGCGAAGCAGAAGATGGAAAGCAGGCAAGGAAGATAGGAAGGGTGGAAGAAAACTGCTGAAACGTGAAGGAGGAAAAGTGAAAGAGATTATACAGAATATATACAAAACCTCTATCTATATATTATGGACAACAATGTTTGTAAAATAGAACATTTGCTCCCCTTCTGAGGGCGTGTGACCTGCAGAAAAACCAACACCATGAGCATCAGTGTAGAAGTGACAACAGCAACAAAACCATCGTGTCTGCAACATTGTTCCAACGGGGTCCAGAGATTTTAGAAGTGCTGCATTCAGAGTTAGGCATCCTTCCAACCCAAACTTTCCCATTTGAATGCCCCCATCTATCTGTGAGGCCTCTGACCGATCAGCCGCCATCGTTCATCGTTACTTCATAGAGGCAGTGAGGTCTGTTTTGGCTGAGAATGGCAGAGAGAGAACAGGACCGTTTGACTTGGCAAAGCTATCGAGTTGAGCTTGGCTGGGTTGGGCTCTGCTGGACACGGTTTGGGTTTAGTTGCCGTCAGATTGGTGTAGCGATTTCCCCACCAGGATACTTTCACCCGTCCACACATGTACATGTAAGAAGCAAGAAGTGGGTTAGAGCAGCACTTAATCCTGTGCAAATGTTGTGGCTTAAAACGAGGCTTGGTGCTCAGAGGTGAAGCGGAGCTCCCGTAGCCGTAGAGACTGCAGCGACGAGCGGCACTGGAAACAGCAGTACATGATCGCACACGCATAGCACACACACAGTCTTAACACGGATCGAGAGGCCTTGTGTGGCGCAGCTGTTCTTACAGTAAACCAGCGTGGGGGAGGCAGTGCTTCTCAGCCCCCAGCATGCACTGCCTCAGGGTTAGGATGATTTTGCGTAATCCCCGCTCCCTCTGAGCAGGAGGCCCAGTAACCCTGCTCCTCGTGCAGTATTAAACCTGTGCAAACTGTTGCATGTGTGAAGAAGAGGTTTTCAACACAAGTGTAGAACTTCTTCACATCGTTATAAAGATTATAAAACAAAAGGTTTAAAAAAAAAAAAATCGCATTTCGTTGTTTTTATTTTGTTCTCATTTCTCACAAGTTTATTTTGTTATATATTTTTTTCTTTTGATGTACTCTAACTCCTTTAGCTGCCCACCCCTACATCTCTTTATATTGAAATGCCTAACAGATTCTAATATATATACATATATATTTGTATTTTGTTTTGGTATAGTATTTTTCTATGTTAAAGAGTAAGCTTGATTTAGGAAGCATTTGGACTGACGGAAAAGCATTTTGTTTATTCTCTGTGTTTTTTTTTTGTTTTTTTATTTTACTTTGTTGGGCTCAGCTTTTCCAACAAAGTAAATAGTTTTTTTGTTTGTTTGTTTTTTTAATGCAACAGCCGGTTGGCCTTGTTGTATAGGAGGCAGTATTGGTCTAGAAATATGTTTAATATTGTATATGTTGTCTTCCATGTGAATATTACATTTAAATCATAAGAATCTGTGCTTTGTTTTTATTTATTTTATCCATAGGCATTTTACGATAGAAAATGAAAAAGCATAAGTGTTGCTGGCGTTCAGTTCTTGGAAAAGAAATGGAATAAGAAGGTGAAACACTCAAAAGAATCAACGTAAAGTTCTTTAAGTGACAGTGAGTTACAGCAGTGTTTTTCTCCTGAGCTCAGAGTCGACCCGCTCAAATTGAACTTGTAAATTAACTCACTTCAATCTTGTGATGTTTTTTTATTTTTTATTATTAATTGGTTGCATTTTTATCATTTGAATCCGAGCGATATTCAGATCAGAGGTCTTTTCAGTTTGGTCGAGCTCGACTGATCGTGAGCCGCTGTCGAGTTGGAGGGAACGGGAGGACGTCGCCTCTCTGGACACGGATCGTGCTCGGCTGTGTTTCCATGGGCTGCGAGGACTGTGTGAACCGTTATATGCCAACTACTGACAGATGATAAGAAGGGACTGGACATTTCTGTTGTCTGTCAGCTTAAACAACAACAACAACAACAAAAAAGAAAGAAGAGGATAAGGTGCCAATTATAGTGAACAGTCATACCTGAATGTATAAATGTGTATAGATAAATATGTCCTATGCTTATTCATGAAGTGGTAACTTTTAGCTGTTATTTAGTTTCCAAATGTAAGATACAGAAATCCTGATTAAAAAAAAAAAAAAGTAAAGTGACAGCCCATCAGGACGGAGTCGGGCACTGTTGTGGCTGTGGACTGGGATTGTGTTTCTCTAAATGTCTCTGATATAAAAGGCCAGATCTCATACCCAGTGTTCCCATCACACCAGTTCCTGATCGTTAACATGGTTTTACCTGCTGTTGATGTGATGCCAGTGGTGTACAATAACATTACAGCGGCGATACTGATAATATTTAGGCCATGTTCCTCGTAAAGGTGCATCTGTTTAGACTTTCTGTTCCCTTGCACTGATCTGTTCTGGACCGGTGCGTTCAAGTACTTGTGCTATATTCAGATGTAATTCCATAATCTGGTCACATGAAGAGAAGCACAAACTTCAGTTTTATGAACTATATACATAAATGTTATTGTAAGCAACACAATGTTCCTGTTGTATTAATATGGTACAGAAGCTAAAGATAAAATGTCCCTGGTTGGGTTCAGCCTGTTTGCTTTTACGTTGCAGGACTCATTGTGGGACTGAACTGAAAAACTTTAAAATGCTGAATGTATGTAGTGCCACCGACAAAATGTTTACCAAACCTCCACTCTTTTCATTAATTAAACTTAAAATGTGTGTGCTTTTAACAAGGTGTTGGTCATTTCTTTTGTTTTTGTTTTTTTACTTTTGCACATCAACACATTTTGGAAGTCTTTGCTGAATACTGTATTTTTCAGATTATAAGGCGCGTTTATAATCCTTTAATTTTCTCAAAAATCCACAGTGAGCCTTATAATCCGGTGCACTTTATGTATTAATCCTGGTTGTGCTTAATGACCTCGAACTGATTTTATGTGGTGCACGGCGGCGCTCAAAAATCTGTCAAAATAAACTTGTTTCGTTTAATGCGCCTTATAATCCGGTGCGCCTTATGTATGAAAACAGACCCATTCATTGATACTGCGACTTATACTCCGAAAAATACGGTTCTTTAAAATAAAATTAGTCAACCTAAAAAAAAAAAAAAAGCAGCAAGCTAAAAGATGATAGAATCTGCTAATTAAAGTAATATCAGTGGGAGTATGTTTCTGCATACACGTTATATAAAACAATAGAGGACAGATGGATTATAAAGTAAATCTAAGTTTTCAAAAATAAAAACGCATTTTTGGAACAACTTAATTTCAATAAAAGCAAACTAAAAACAGTTAAGTCCCAGACAAGGCAATTACTGCTGACCATGGGCACATTTTTAGATATCAGATTTTTAGATTATAAGATTTATTTTAAATATTATCAAATAAATCCAATACTTTTAATCTGTTACTTTAATACATACGAGTGCATCTACAAAAATTAGAATGTGATAAAGTTAAATATTTCTTGTCAGTCATTTCAGAAAGTGAAACTCACATACTGTAACAGATTCTTTACACAGTCAAGTCTTTATTTCTTGTCATTTTGATCATTATGGTTTACAGATAATGAAAAAACTAAATTCAGCGTCTCAGAAAAGTAGCATATTTTGAAGATGTCTTGATGCATGCGCAATAATCCAGGCAGATTAATCTAATATGGTGGTCCTCAGGGCAGAGTCTTCTGTTGAAACGGTTCATCTTTTATGAAAGACTTCTTCAGTCTAGGTACCAACGATCGTTAGGCTGATGGTGCTCTTTTTGCACGTGAACTAGTTTTGGCCGTCACCAGCAAACTGGTTGACCCACTATGAGAAGGTGCTGCTTATAGGACTGAGTTTGTTGCAGCTCCTCAGACTGAAGATGGAGAGGTCCAGAGTGAAGTTTCCACAGTCATTGATGGTTTGGGGCCATGTCCTCCGCTGGTGCTGGTCCACTGTGTTTTCTGAAGACAACACTCAGCGCAGCATCTACCAGGACATTTTACAGACTTCATGTTTCCTTCTGGAGATGAGGAGTTCATTTCCCAGCAGGACTTGGATCCTGCCCAGTGACAAAAGGTACCAAAAGCTGGCTGTGGAATATTCTCATTTTACCTGACACTGAATTTTGATTTTTCCATTATGTGTTGAACATAATCATCAAAATTACAAGAAATAAAGTATTTCACTCAATGTGTAAAGAATATGTCTAAGAGTTTCATTTTCTGAAATGACTTGATATTCTCATTCTTTGAGATGCACTTGTAAAAACACAGTGAGCTCAGACATTCAGGAGTAGGGACTGTTTATAGAAAGGTTTATGCTCCAGAAAACTTTTTTTTTTTTTTTTTTTTTGCACACAACAGTTCCACTGAGTAAAACCTTTTTCTGAGTTGAGTTTCACTGCTTTGCCCGCGGGCTGCAGCGACATCTAGTGTCCAGGATGGTAAATGTCTCAATTAAAGATCCTCATAGGCTACAAGACGATTTGTCCATTTCTTAGTTTTTGTTTCCTTTACTGACAAGTTGTTTCAGCTTTACCTTTTGGTAAAAATAAAATAAAACAAGACCGGTGTAAATAAATAAAGAAACCATAAAATTCAAACATCTTTATATCAACTCCAGCAAAAATACAGTTCTGAACACAAATGCATCTTTCTCGGGATTACCACAAATAAAGCAAGTATATATTTTCTAATATACAAAATCAGAGTCTTTAAATAGCAAATTGCAAAGAACAAACTAGTTCAAGTCTGATATTTGGTGGGATGTTGTCGATTTTCTAAATTCATGAGTCAACATGGGAGCTATGAATAAAAACATGGCAGACCAGTTCTTTTGCGTTTACAGATTTACCTTGTTAAAAGGAAATGAGCATTAATAAATCCTTATCCTTTTGACATAAACACTTGTGGAAGCAAGCGCACTTCACATTATGAGAACTTGCTCGACAGTCGTGGAAATATGAACTCCCAACACAAACAGTGAGAACCAGCTTTTAACGGGTAGATCTTGACCAACACACAAGCGGGAGTAAAAGTTTGTTCATAGCTGGAGTATTCTCAAAGAAATCCACGAGCCAGTGGCCCACAGTCACCTCAAGGGGTTTCTCCCTCACGTGTTCTCAGCCTTAAGTAGGGCTGGTGCGTTCCGTTAGATGAGAAATAAATTCAGTGCTGCGCTGCACGAGCTGCTGACTCTCCACAGGAACAAGATCCCACCAAGCAGAAGCAGGAGAATGGGCTGAGACCTGACCACAAACAGCAACAACCAAGAAACTAACTTTTTATGACGACGCAGCGAAGCGCCTGCTTGTTTGAACAAATCGCATCTCAAGCAATTTTACGGTAATGCTTTGGGAAAGTAGGCATAAAATTAAATCTGTTGAGGGGACGAGTCAAACTCTGAACGCTACAGCCAACGAAAGAAACGGCAGGAAAACACAACGCGTCGTGACGTGCGTGAACATCAACTGCGTCTCCAGGAAAAGAGAGAAGGATTCACAGTTCGCGACACATTCGGTTACGGTTCATAAATAAGGCACCTGGTCACGTCACATTTTCACACGGCTGTGACTGGAAGACTGGCTGGAGGAACGATCTGACGACTGACTGCACGGAAAAAGTGGACTCGAGACTCCCTTCTCAAAGATCGTAGAACAGTAATGCGATACGTGCCGCCATTAAAACAACTATACACAAAGAGGAACAAAGGAGCAGAAAAATATGACCGTTAACTTAATACAATCCAACAATGTGTTTTATCTCAACTAAAACGAGGTTTGACAGGCTGTTATCTCCAGACGTTTACCGTGTTTCTCAGACTAGAAGGTGCACTTTAATTTTCTCAAAAATCAACAGTGCGCCTTACGCATTCGTTCTGCTTGTGCTTTCTGACCTCGAACTGATTGTATGTGGTTATTGTGAATCGCTTGAATAAAGTTTGACTTTTCTGTTTCGTTTCGCTTAATGCGCCTTATAATCTGAAAAACACGGTAGTTGAGCGCTGAAGCTGTGAAGACGCGACGCAGAACTCGTCTGGCGCCCCTGAACACGGCACAAACCTTTAGGAAATACGGCATGACGCATGACTTAGTGTCCGTTTCTTCCATAGTCACTGAGAAGAGCATCCTCTGACGAGTTTAGGAAGAAAATAAAATAGAAATATTTTGTCGTCCTCTGTATTTTTCAGATTAAAAATAATAATAATAATAAAGATCTCTTTCCATGAGCCCATTCTATTTTGTCCTGGTGCGCTTTGTGGGGGTCTCCAAAGGCCCCCGAGCTCTCTTGGTGGCTCCTTTAGCGACACTTCTTGGCAGTGATGATTTCTGAGGTCTCTTCACAACCCCGCTTCTCGTCAGCTTCGGTTCATCCGCTTCCTTGACCACTTTAGGAGACGCTGTGTGTGAAGATTTGGGCTTTTTGGCCCTCTTTGAAGCAGGACTTGGACTCGGAGGGGCCGCTGCCTCCAGTTTCCTCTGGGATCTTGTTAGCACCTGGTCCGGGGAGGCTGGAGACTGCACCTCCGTGCTCTGCTGTTTGATTTCGGCTGCGTTTTCACAACCTTTGGCTTCTGCAGCCGCACCCTGAGAGGAGTCCTTCATTTGGATTTTAGCAGAACTCGCTTTATTTGCGTCGCACTTCTCCACTTCTGCTTTGTCTGCCTCGTTCTGCTTTTTGCTGGTCACCTTGCTTTTTGACGTGTCCACGGAGTTCTGCTCAGATATTTTAGGAGACCCGAGTCGTTGAGAAGATCTTTTTGGCAGTTCTTTTTTACGTGCAGCCTTTGGAGCTTTGCCTGCCTTCTTTTGAAATAAACGCTTCGCCGACTTTTTTACAGCTAACATTTTCGTCCTGTGCAGTTTCGCTGTGGACTCTTTCATTTGCTTGCCGATGGGCATCGCTGCTTTCCGTCCCTTCAGAGATGGTTTGAGCTTTGCCTTGGCAGATTTGGCAGCAGCCAGTGTTTTCATCTTTTTGTTTTTTAACATTTTGGAGGCCCCCTTCAGCCTCACCGTGGTTTGCTGAACCTGCATCTTCTCTCGGATGTTGGAGTACTTCCTCAGGATTCTTGCACTAGCTGGATTCTTATTTGCTGAGGATTTTTTGGATTCCTGTTTTTGTGCGCAGGTTTTATCGGAGGCTGTTGACTTACTGGGAGTTGGAGCATCACTGGGAACTTCTTCCATTCCTTTAACTGTGTTTGCCTCTTGCTCGAGTGCTTTAGCAATGAGCTTCAGACTCTTGGGATTGCTCTTAACAGGAGAGGCTATGGCAAACTTTTTCAAATGTTTCTTTAAACGCTCCGCCTGAAGGCTCGGGAACACTCCTTGTGAAGGCCCTGATGCAGACGCCGAGCTGTGGAAGCACAGCTGGGTTTCTGACGGAAGACGAGTGTTGACATTCTTGACAATAACAAGGGATTTAGTTTCTGTTGTTTCTAGAAACCAGTGACAAATGCTGGTGAGATTAAAACTTCTCATGAAAAGCATTTGGACGGGCGAGTATTTCTGATGCTCCGAGGACTTGGACTTCCGTGCCCTGCGTTTACTTTTCCATATAGCTGCCTGTCTGTCCGATTTGTTTTTGTATTTTGCTGGTGGCTGACCCTCTTTGTCCAATTGCACCCAACTCTTCAGCAGTTTATCGTATTTGTTGTTCAGATTTGTAATTAAGTGTTGGCTCTCTTCTCCCATTAGCGTCTCAAAGAATTTGTTGTTTGTTTGTTTTGGGGACTCGTCTTTTGGGGTAACCACAGGGAGGTCTGCGTTGTGAGAAAACGATGTAACAGACACTGGATTGGGCCTTCCTTGACCTTTAGATATTCTCTCTGGCAATGTTCTAGCAGGTGATGACACATTACTTTGTTTTGAAGTTTCAGTAGAACTGGCAGAAGGTGTAGTCAACCTTTGTGATCTCAAGGCTAATTTCTTGTCTGCTGGTGTGCTGGTTTTTGTATTGAACGTTTTTTTGAATTTGTCTGCTGGTGGCAACTGATTTACAGACTGGTCGGGCGTTTCAGCCTTACTGGTCTCACTCCTTAATGGCATTCTTGTGGGTTTGTCTGATACAGAAGCACCGTTACCGTCTCCGTCTGCCGACTTGTCCTCCAACGATACTTTTTTTTTCGGAATCAAAGCAACATCAACTACATCTCTGTTCCTTCGACGACCTCGTTTGCCTCTAACTGAAACCGGCTCCATTTCCAATTCGGTCTTGAAAGGACTCTTACTTTCTGAGGAATTTGATTCCCCCTCACTAATTTGCTGCTTCTCCTTCTCACTGCTGTTTGTTACAGCTCTGGCTGATCTTAGTTTCTGTTTGGTTTCTGATCCTGTGGGCACATTAGATTTTGGTACATCTTCAGAGGCCGCCTCAGTTGACTGTGTGTTTTTAACGTTTGAGTTCACAGTTTCTGTCTTCTGTTGAGGTTGCTCGGATGCTGGCGGTTCAGGTGACGTTTTTAGAGAAGATGCTGTAACTGATGGTGGATAAGGGAGGAGGGGGCTCTGTTCTGCAAGGGGAAGAATAAGTGAAGAAGGTTTTGGAGAGGACAAGGAAGTGACCGAAGAAGAAGGTACTGATGCTGGAGTAACAAATGGCTTGTGGCTGGCTGATCTCAGAGGGCGTTTGTGTGTAGTGTTCTGAGCCTGATCAGGAGGCTGAGCAGGAGACTGAGCAGGCTGCTGATCAGGAGGCTGAGCAGGCTGCTGATCAGGAGG